AACTCAATCATTCTTTGGAACTATTCTAGTTTTATACAACATGAAAATGAATCATTATACCATTCAGTAATTCTAAATGAGAATTAATCATTTCAATTTTCTTAAGAGAATATACTTCAGTATTGGATTCCTGGTAAACTTGCCAACAAGATAGAAATTCTGACCATTGAGGGAGATATACAAATTATGGATCGATTTGAACCTGATTTAAGGTAGATATGAATTGGTTGTTATAAACTATAGTTATAGATGCTGTAACTTGAAAATTTTATCAACAGTATTATATTCGCTTTTCTTATGTTATCTTCTTAACTTTCACAGTTGAAATCACGAACCAATCTAAGCCAACTCACCATTGAAAACCTGGAAGCACTGCATGGTTGTTTCGTCCTAGTATGAGACTCTTCAAAAATGATACATCTACAACCCCGCACGCGAGATTCGAACCCAGGAATATCGATCCAGAGAGAGAACACTTAAACCCTAGACTACTGATCGTGGATACGCACTGCTGAAGACTCCCATACTAAAACGAAACGGCCGTCCACTGCTTCCAGGTTTTCAGTGGTGGTCTAACTTAGATCGGGTCGTGATTTGGACAGTGAAAATATTAGATTCTCCACAAACCCCCATATTTATATATAAACTTGTTGGTTAGAATGTGAGTACTTTAATAACTAAGCATCTGCTCCGCTAATAAGACTTGCTAGGTTCTCTAACAGAACTAAGACTTGGCATATCTTGAACGCTGTTACAGCTATACTGATTAATACACTCTCATCCCACATCAAATTTACGAACGGGAATAAAAATAAATACGATCAGCTACCATTTTTAGATTGTTTAGTTAAAAAAATCTAGATGGAGCTCTAAATCCAACCATCTACCGAAAACCAACGCACTCAAATCGTTATATCGACTTCGATTCAGCACACATATTCAATGAAAAATTTGTCTATCCCTAAATCTCTTTAGAAGAGCCAAAACGACCATTACATCTGATGAGGATAAACAAAAAGAATGAAAGCATATAATATCTTACAACTTAATAATTTTTCTATGAAAATTATTAAAAGTGCAATAAAATGAGACATATTACTGCTAAATAATATTTCGAATGAAATACTATGGATTGATAATGTAGTTAAACCACACCATCACGGTACAACAGAACTTCAAAGTCTTAAAACAACACAGAATTAAAATCTAATACAAAACAACGAACACCCTTCAAAATACTTTAGTTCGGATAAAGGGGAAAAACATCTTTATGTCAACACAGAATTGTGTCTACAAATTAGGTACATAAAGAAACCGCCTAATAATCCCGTAAAACTGGCAAGATTCCAAATTAAATAGACAATAACAGTTTGTGCTATTTTCAAAAACCATCAAATCCATATTAAAAACATCAAAATAATACAAAAAGGCTTTCCCAACTCCAAAAAAGGCGAGTAGTTGGAGCTTTTCATATATTGCTTAATCCTACTGCCTTCAATAGAAAGGTTTCACTATCCATCCGACTAGGACTATCTATCCGAGCCATGTCTGCTTCTATTCACTTCTCATACTATTATCACACATACAAACTTAACTCTATCCTTTCTCAACAAAAATATCCCATGTTTTCATCATTTAGCACACATACACAAATAAACAAACATGCCTCATATAAATCACCTTAACCGGAACGACATAACATTGACTTGGTCAGATCTGTTTTTGACTGATCGTAACTAATGTTATTGCTTTGCACCTTCGTACTATATAAACATGTGTTAATTTACTTTATTTATTTATTCTCTGAAGAAATGGCCTGCATTGAGACACGAAACACCAGAAAATCTACTCATTAAGAACAGTTTCACAAATATAAGGAATGAATAAGTTGAAATTACTTCTTATTAAAGACAATGAAATGTTAAAACAATAACAATATAAAAATAGTCAGTATGTGGTTATGAAGAACGTTTAGTTCTACTGAAATTGCAAACCGATATAAGTCAGACGATCATTGAAGACCTGAAAGTATCGAACAGCGGTTTTGGCCTAGTATGAGAAGTTTCCGGAGTTTTATTGATCTCCAACCAGTGGGATCCAACCGTATTGGGTGTGAGGAAAGTACTAACCGAAGACAATGGAAGATGAACGCGCAATATTGTGGGCCGACTGAAGTTACACTTGTACACCAATATATTTAGCCTCAGTCATCTAGAGGTTATACATTCCCGTAAAACCGCAAGTATTGAGTGCGATTTTCTGTGGCGGGGTCGTAGATGCGCATTGCTAAGGAGTTTCATTCTGGACGTCTTTTAATAGTTTCTTTAACCATTCATAATTATTTCCGTAAACACTTAAATTGATAATATTACTTAGTACATCACTGCCTGGTCGGTATAGTTTTATTGTAAAACACACACATATATATTGGTGTAGAGATAATTAACAAGAAAAATTACTTCGCTCTGTTCGTCATTAACTAAAAGTCAACTTAAAGTCCATACAACACAAAACTGTATTACGGAAGATGAAAATATCAAAGGATAGTGATAAAACAGAGTTCAGTGCATAATAAGCATTTTTTATATCCCAATGAGTAGGAATATTGTATTTTTGACATTTCGTGACTTAGTGTAAGCCACTTTTCAGAGTAAATACCAACTCTCTACTCCATACTCAATTTATTTGAAACTATCAAGTTCAACCTTGGTATTGATACCTATAGAGTTTAGTGCAACGGTCAACAAGAACATAAAAGGTTTAAAAGTTCGTATTTGTTTCAAATAATTGATGAATGAAACATTTAATGCCTTTCAATTCAACCACAGTTTAGTCACTGTAACAAGTGCCATAACATGTTAACTTAAACGATACTAGAAACAATACCACAAATATACTGTAGTTATTACTAATGATCATAGAATTACCTATAATTTTCTATTTGTATATACTGGTTAGCTTATTAACTAGTATTCACAGAAAGTATTTGAAGATTCTGCGAATAATTGATTGTAATTACTTTCCTAACAATAACGAATTTCCACAAGCTTCCATGATTGAAACGACGAAGTTAGTTTCTTCCACTGATGTGATATGCATCGACTTACTAATTATCAACCACACAGTAATGAAGTGAGTTCTTAACCAATGTATTTGTATGAATTTTTTGAGTTTGTAGCAGCGAGATTATGAAAATAAGAACGCTTGTAATTTTTTGTCCATATTAAATCGCTTGACTTACAGAATTCCCGACCAATGTTTGGAGCAGTAATAAAGAAAATCCCATAATGAGTGGGATAGATAGTAAAATAGAATATATAAAATTGTTGTCGAAAAACACTACTCATTTCAAGTCTGACATCCCTAACGCATGTTAAAACTGATCAATTTGAAAGTAGCCATGGTCAAACTTTTGTTTACATAAGCTTACACACATAATAGGACATATACAGAGAAAAACATGACACCAACATCAGCATTTACACCCTTTAGCTACGTTCTTTCTGTTTTATAGTTTTGATATAAAGCGCGACAACTCGGATAAATACAATTTTCGCCAGGTGTATTATCGACTGACACAAACTGTCGCTACTGTACTAAGCTTTCATTTACTATTAAAAGAATGCTTTTGACATGTTCACTATGTCGAGGCACACGACCAACTGATATCTAAGTAAAATGTGGTTTTATACTGAACCGTTCAAGTTGTAAAAGAAACTGGGTGGTCGTAATATAACAAATCCAAATGCCTTGTAACTAACTTCATTGAATGTAAAGATGTATATTTGATGCAAATACTATTTCCAGTAAAGCATTTCCTCAGATACTCTAAAGGACTATCTTAGAGATCTTTGTTACCATAATCAACAAACGATGGCTTTTGCCAGAATTAAAGATTCTATGGCTGTCTTTTCATTGAAAATCCACGTTTAGCATGTTGTGGCAGACCAAGGTAAGACCTCAATTGTAGTATATTGTTCTTTCCTAGAATTTCATGACTTCATAAAGATAAATGTTCTTGAATGTATCACGATGGTAAACACCGAATCGATAGCCGGAAGTCTAAAACCGACAAGTTGGTTATCTGCATGAAAACATCTGAACCAAAACTATGTAGGCAGCTGACCTATAAAGATCAGACCTCTCAATACAGCAGTACAAAATAACGCTTAGAATTAAAAGATACAGTGTCGAATTAAACCCGCAACTGATGTTTCAGGTAGAGTCTGAGATATATCTGAAAAAGATGACTGGAGATGTTAGATGATCTTTCTCAAAGTCGATCATGATAAAGGACGCATATCCACTTTTTTCCTAAACTGTGTCAAACGAATTATTCTGTTTACTTATTTCTTTTTCCTGTTTAATTGCTCACTACTGTTAGCCCCATTATCTCATAGGACTTATCTACATTCTCTACGATTTTTCACATTACTTTAAACACAGTAACTTCAGTGATCAATATGATGACTTTATCTAGCCTACTTAGGGCTTATATTAACATATTCTGGCGGTGGTCTATGTGGGAAATCAAGAGTCGAAAATCCACACTGTGACTTGTGTTCACGCAGCATTTGTGGCACATCCTATTTTGACCTTAAAATATGTGGGTCTACAACTTCACTAATTCGCTTAGTTCCTCTCAACCTCGCAATGAATTATTATTTCGAATAAATGTCTAACCAAATAGCACGTTCCCAAACCATCTGCCTTGGACATCTATGTAGTAGAATAGGTAGTATTGTTATGTGAGTTTACATATACCAGGACAGTCAATTACTTCAGTGACAGCAAATATCAATCCAGCAATCTGTGGAATTATAAACACCGAGGACTTGAATAATTTTTATCAGATAAGTTTTAGCTAACATGCACGGTCATAGTGGATATTTATCCAACTTTGCTCACTGGCATAGTTGCACTAATTTATACTTATTATAATATAGGTTAAGCGGAATAATGGGCAATCATCCACAACACACTAAATAATAAAAGAGATGTAAAACACTAAACTTCTATTTCTGTAGTACATTTAAATTAATCTGTCATAATACATTGACAGTCAAATGTGAAAGGTTTAGGAATATAGAAGTAATATAATAACTCTCAAGTTAATATTACTAATAAATACTGTGCAACTTGTAGCTTAAAGATGTGAGTTATCTACTTTATGCTACAATGAGAACTGAGGAGGGGGGAAGTAAAGGTAAAATAAAGATAAATGCTGTCGCATAAATTGTAAAATAGTAAGTAAATAGTACTAAGCATATTGATATTAGTGGATCACTAAATATATTTGTAGTTATAACGCACATTTAGTACATTTAACAGCTGGGAGAACAAAATTTTCCAACTCTTTATATCCAGTGTTGAGATCATCATTAATTATAATTTTTGTGAATAGTTTCTGACCTTCTTCAGTTTCAGAGAATGCAATATCTTCACGAGCCCGAGCAAGCCGCTTAGATAGAGTTTCTTCAGTTTCTGTTCCTCGGCCACGTAGACGCTTTTCCAATTCACTAATTGAAGACGGACGAATAAGGATGTATTGAGCATTCAATGGTGGTTGAATTGCATGGATACTTTTAACTCCCTGTAGTTCAACATCTAAAATACATATGCGACCAGCATTAAGTACCTGAAACGAAGATAAATGTAAGTGTCGAAGACTGAGTTATCAAACAGAAAATAACATTTAAAAATAAAAAGAGAACTTTAGGATGAAGAAATTCTGCAAAAGTTTAGCTTACAAAATTTTAATGATGACTAGCTAATAGAAACAAAAATTTTAAATGTTGCTTAGATTTGTTTCCCATCAACGTAAAAAGAATATGGAAATAAGTAATGATATTGAAACGACTTCTAAAAAATGGAAACGCAATATACGGACAATATAAATATGTCAATATTCTTATTTAGAAGTGATTTATTGACAACAGAAAGAAATGACTGAAATCGTGTTAATACTGTCTTTTTTGAAAGCGCGATTCGTAGAGTAAAAAATATATACATAAACTAGTAGTGACTGTTACTGATTTTGAGTGGCTTATTTGTACCAGGTAAGTGAGTAAATAAAGACAAATTTCAGGTCTGTTTATAATAAAAATACAGCCTAATACAGTAGATACATTTTTTGAAACATATATAATGGATATCAATTTTTTATTAGGAGGGATTCAAGTATGACTACCTGGTCTTAAATATTGTAAAGGGCAATTTTTGAGTAAAACTAAAGGAAACTAATCTAAAATAAACCCTATATTAATTATGTAACATCCATACAATGACTCGAAGATAACAGCTGCAGAAAACAGTGTTGAGTCAGAGATCAAAGGTGGAATCTGAAACTAACTAACAAAATATGAATCACAAGTATGCAATATTATTTTGGAAATCCATTTATCCCGGCGTGGATAATCACGGAAAACATCTTACTCTAGTGAGCAAATTTAATCTCTTTTTGCATTACAAATGTGAAGTTTCATATTATTATCACCAAGTCACCAGATTTTTTGGAGAACAATTAATCAGTTTGAACTTATAACAAAACGCTAAGTTGATTGTTATTACCAGCTGACATTTTCAGCGTTCCTATTTGCTCAGTCAGTCATAATCAACGTAAAACCTAGAGTTAGTGCCCGTTAGCTCATATTGCCGTATCATACTAGCACAACTAGATGTAATAGAAAAAAGTAGGAATACTGCAGCAGCAATAACAATGAAAAAGACAATGAGGATATGGTGCAAGAAGACAGAATGAAAGGATACGTTTGAAGGAATATTGGGATTCACTACTTAGAGAAAAAGTAAATGTAAATGTGGTATCTGGGCCTCCTCCCCCAATCTCTCCGACCACTAACGACAAGTACTGCTTGGCGTTCAGTCACGTAATTTGAACCGACCTAAACGAACTACATCAACAACGACTTTGTGGATTGATGTCACGTTTTAAGTTTGGACACCCCAATCTTTATTTCGAGCTACTTCTATGCCAGCGATCATCGTCCGCCAAAGTAAGTGTTTGGGAATACGCAGAACAGGTCCCGAACACCTCGTATGATGGAGATTCACAACTTCGACCGACTTTCTATCCTTGTTTAGTACCCTATACCCAACTTCAACATTGCTCAGTAAACCGTCCTGTGATGCGTTGCCAATGCTTCGGAGACATCTAGGGAAAGACAGAACTCACATATGTCTGGTTACAGATAATGCGTCAAGTAAATTGTAGCAGTATAATGTTGAGAATGTTGACAGTACAAACCGATTTAATCGTATGATTAAAGAGTAGCGAATAAATTCATGCATCTCTTCACTGATAAATTTTTCGCGACGAACGGCTTCGTAATACATATCAAAAATGTCAACGGGGATGACATGGATATACTTGATCTTGAATAAAGCACATGACGGGAAACAAGTTTTTGGTCGTTGAAACATTCATTTTACAAATTAAATAAGTTTCACAGAAGCGCAGTCATATCTCAAAAATTGGTCAAAAACAGATATTTGTTCTAATTCTTATTAGCCAATGTGTGCTATTATTTGCCGATATTTCCGGAGCTTTAACGAGGTTGGTGGACATGGGGAGTCCACTTAGGGGAGTTGGAAATCCCTCAATCCAAACCAATGATGCACATGGGCTGGTTCCAGTATCTTGAAGGAAAAAATGGCATGTGGACTAGTTGTTGGTCACCGGCTACCATGTGACTGCATCTCCTTACAATGCTCCACTGCCTTCTGGATCAGACCTTCAGGTCGAAGGCTCGTGTGTGACCCACTAAGAAAACCAACTGCTTCGGTCTGGGCACCCGGGCAGCATCACAGCCCTCACATATATCGAGTGAGATTTGTGTGGCGCATATGTAGTTGGTGCCTCCTTGTACCAATATTTACGTGTTAAAATAAATAAGTAATAGTCGGTGTTTCCAGGGAAACTAACAACGGTGCACTAGCATATCAAAAGTCCCCTATGTTTATTGTATAGTGTGGTGTATTTAGAAACTCACGATGCTTATAGACACCGTACTCCTAACAGCCAAGTTTATTGAAAGACAGCATCAGGCTTACTTGACAGAACAAACATTAGGCTTTAGACACTGACCAACGTAGTGCATAAAAAATTGACACGATGACAAGTAAACTAATTTTAACGAAGTACTACCCACCTATAAAATAACAGATAAAATGGCATCCTACAAGACCCAATATAGGAACGATTAACTACATTATTCTGAAGGATTCTCATTTTAAACAATACTATTTCCACTCCTAGTTAACCTAAGAAAGATTTCTGAATCATAAACTCTACCCCTTATGTAACTTAGGTATATAGATGATAAGAAATAGAATATGTTAAAACTTGACAACATTAATGGTCGACTTGATAAACGATTTAACTCCAGATTTCACAAGTCCTAATATATCCTAAAGAGCGCGTTATCCGGAAAGAGCATAAACCCTTACAACAAACACCTATTCTGATTATTAATAATAGAAATAAAATCATGATATGAAAAGTCAATTACTGATTCAACAGCAAGTCTTGATGTTCCATAAAAGTTCCCAGCAAATTCTGCATACTCAAGAAAATTCCTCTGGGAAACCTCACTCAAAAACGAATCTCTGTCAGTGAAGTGATAATCTACTCCATCCCTTTCCCCCGGGCGTGGTTTTCGCGTTGTGTGAGATACACTGAATCCAAAACTATTGGGAAACTTCTCCAGCAACATTTGTAGTAGCGTGCTTTTACCAGCCCCAGAAGGCCCGGTGAACACATAGATCGGCAGATCGGCCATTATATGAGAATACCAAATGTCCAGATGACCAGCCGACTTGAATGAGGAAAAGCAGAAAAAACCGACCTAATAAACCACGACAACCCATCACGATTAAAGGACAGGTTTTATTTTTCCGGTTACTTCATTTAAACGAAGCCAACTTATCCTCAGCAAAGTCTAACACATTATTACTTGTATAACTTCAAATTCCAGTTTTTCAGCACTGAAAGTGAACAATGGATCACCAGACAATTAACCTGCACTCATTCATGATTATTCTAAAATCTATAAACTCCAAAGTATTTGTAGTTTACTTTCTCGAACTATTCTAAATCATTTACAGTGTATAATCAAGGTCTCTATTTAGAAATATTACTGCATTGTGATCCTTTGGATTCTAAACACACAATGGTCTTTCGGAGCGTATACAAAGAAAATCAAACGAATGTTTTACTCAGTCTAACACCAGGATTCTGTAAGAACGCCTAAGAACTTCAGATATCCAACTAGTGCACTTTCAAAAAATGGTCAAAATAAACTTGGTTCGTTTGGCTTTTGTCATGACTTCAAATGGTTCAAATGGTTTTGGACGGAATAGAAGAAGCTTTCGCTTAACAGGCTTCCGTGTCTAGTAGCAGGGGATCACCAAATTCCCCAGGCAGGAACCCAGGTATGTTAACAATAAAAGAGGAAAAGAAATTGATAAATCATAGTGCGATACTATCCTTAGTCCTTAAGAATAGATCAAGTTACCCCTTAAAGGACTCCTGGGAAATCGCTTGGACTAGCTCTGCCAGCATTTGCCAACTCTTAAGGAGTAAAAGTTGTGTCTACAGCCCGTTCTGCTATGTTGTGTCTCCAGTTTCTGGGTGTAACACCTTAGGTTAGTGTTGAAACTAAGCTTAAGAAGGTGTTTGAGAGGTTGTCCAGAAGTGTTAAGGATAAGGTAAGCCATCATGAGGTCACCACTAAGACGTCGATACTCTAATGGATAAACGTTAGGTGATTGGAGGCGCTCTTAATAAGGTTTGAGTTTGAGTCCTCGAACTGATTTCGTGGCTCGCCGTTGAATACGCTCCAGGGTGTCCTTATCCTTTTGGAGTGAGGGAGGAAATACTATGTTTCTGTACTCTAAATTGAGACGAATGAAGCTGTTGAAGATTATATGAAATGTTATTCCGTCAAACTGGCTGAAAATGCGCTTCAGTGTTATTAGTGAAAGGTTTGCCCGAATGGCATTTTTGTCATGGCCTAAGACTTCAAATCGTAGGGCAACAGGAACCTAAATCTTCCTCAACTTGGGATACTTCTAGAGAGGAGCTTCTTAAGTTGTAAATGTAGTCTGCAACATGTCCCATATTGACTAATTACACTTTCAAGTGTTCAAGTTTAGTCCGTTCTCACCTGCTCAACTTCGATGTCGAGTCAGATCCTCCTGAGGTGCCAGTATATCCTCTTGGTTGCGTATCTCTCTCTCCAAAGTTTCACGTCATCGGCAAAAAGTAATAAGTCTGACGTTACCTGTTTAGGAAGATCATTAATGTAGATCAAGAAGAGAAGAGGTCCTAATACTGTGCCCTGGAGGACCCCACTAGGACATTCCACAGCCTGAGATAAAGTGAAATTAACCCTTACCTTAAAATGTCGATTTTTCAGGTATGAAGTGAGCCAATCGATTAGAGGTGGTCTGATACCCAATCGTTTGAGCTTATTGATAAGACATGTATGGTTAACTACTTACGGCGCGCTTTTGAAGGTTGTAACTTTTTTTCACGTGGTATTATTTTATTTTCCTATCCGTTTTTCTCTTTAATTTAACACTTGATAGCGATAAATAATTCGTCACTGATAGGGTTCTATTAACTTTACACCTTATTTAGGAACTCAACCTCATAAATTAATATTGCTAGTTTTCACGCTATCACTATCACCAATTAACTGTAATATATTTACTCTTAACTAATACTGGGTCTGATCCTACCATAAAACTTTACACGTTCACTAAGTTAAATTACAGCTATCGTCATCCACCTAATTAAACTTTGAATTAACATTACTTCCAATAATGTCCAGGCCATCTAAAAAACATATAATCTCTCCAGATGCCTATAGCACCTGCAAAAGATCTAAATCAGTCACTAAAGTGAATAATGCGAAACCTTATAAACACACTGATCAGTCTGCATCCTACTCTGATCTTCCCTCAGCCACACTAAACGTGCACCCTTTACTTGGACAAGACATATCACTACCTTGCATCTCGCTTGTCGATATAAATAAGAGCAGTCACATGCTGTTAGAGTCGACATCATTTGTCAGTCCCAAAAAGAGCACCGAATATTGTGAGCAGTATTTAGACAGTGCGGCTGACCCCAAACACCCAACAATTTTACAATCGGCCATCTTAAGTAGCGGCTCACGAATTACGACTGCCTACAATAGCCAGCCCGATGACGTAGATCTTGACTACTCACCCAGACATATACCCAATCCCCCAACTAAGTGTGCACAAAGTGACCACCCGCTAGACACCTGTAACAGGCCTATATGTAACCATATCGACCTTAAAAACTTTGATATAAACTTGAATAATCTCACCACTGGTAGACCTAGAAGCACCCAAACAGAACTTAGCCTCACCCAAACTATTCAAGACCTATTACCGTACAAATATTTAATCAGTGTTCCAGAAAATCCCGATCTGGAAATTATAAAAAACACTGAAAAAATAATTGACCATATATCAACCGAAGTGTTGAAAAGACTTCAGTGTATGCATAATGTCATTGTGTATAATATACCTGATAGTACGAACATAAAGATTGCTAAAAATACTCTGCTACAAGAGTGTGGATTGTCGCAATCTTGGTGTGTAACAAGGAGATTACGTAAAGGACACACTAAAACCTCATGTCCCATTCTATTTCAGTTTGGTAGTACCACTGAAGCTAATCACCTCCTTAATAGTCAGTCACTACTGAGGCGTATTCCAACATTTAAAAAGATTAGGATCATTCATGACAGGACCGCTATCCAGCGTCGTATCTGCAATGGAACACAAACAGATCAACCCAGCTTACGTAGCCGCGGCAGCTACAGCTCTTGTCACTGCACAAATCCTAAAATATCATACACTGCCCCCCCAAAAAACGGAGGCACGTCGGACATTGCAATTAATCCTAAGGACAAGACCGCTCATAAAGCAGCTACAACCACTCACCCTCAGCCCAAACACTCAGCTACCCCAAAATGCCAAACCACTTATGCCTCAATAGCGTCCAAGTATCACCCTAGCGGCCCCTGTAAAATGCCTAAAAATGACCACCCCAGGAATTGCGCTAACAGCTACAGACTCTCAGACATCGCTGTACGAAATAATACCAAACCCTCCGTAAAAACCCACCAATACTCCAGCACCTCTAACCCAAAACGTGCACCTTCTCATAGCAATAGAATGCCCTACAACAAACATAGTGAACTGGCAACACCCACTCATCCTAATGTGAAACGACATTTGACAAGAACCACACCCACACGTGATACCCATAAGTCATATAGTGTCAACCTTGCAAGCCCCATGAATCAACACAAAACTATACACATCAGAAACACCTCCCTTAGCAACAATAACAGGCATTCCTTTATTCCTCATCAGAAACATACAACTTCCTCAACTAACCACAATAGGACTAAAATTGCCCACCGCACACAAAGAAGCCATAATGTTGGCCTACTTGGAAACCCACCTACTGACTCTAGGTACTATCTAAGTCAAGCCACCCAATACAGCGGTTTAGTCCCCCCTAATTCGACATACACACTATCTCATCCTTTTTTATCTCTCCCCCCCTCAACATTACTGCTATGGGGTCTCCAAATGTTGAGGGCGACAATCCCACTATTCTGAAACCATCTATATATTCCGATTTGATGGGGAGTGGCAGATCCTTCTCAACCTCGATAAATGTCTCTAGTCTTGAAAACTTCTTGACTGGACCCCCTGATCATTCCCCGGACACATTACCTAACCATTCAACTCTACCTTCCACTCTTAGACATACTTCTTTCACCAAAACAACACCCGACTACCCTTCTCGCATTAACCCTACTGGTAATAAACTAAACACTCATCAATATGGAGTCGACGCTCCCAATTCTTCCTTTTCTCGTTGCAAAACAGACAAATCACTGGGTATACATCATACCCTTCTACTAGACAAACAGTCACCGTACCTGACACTTATGTTAATTAACGCTCGATCTGTACAAAGTAAGATGACTCACCTACGCACCCTTTTACTTTTAAACAACCCCTCACTTGTTTTGATAACGGAAAGTTGGCTGTCCTCCGACACCACAGACACATTTCTACAAATAGACACATATGAGCTCTTCCGCTGTGATCGAGTAACCAAGAAGGGTGGTGGTTGTCTCGTTTATGTATCAAAATATTTGAGAGCGGAAATCTATAGCGACCACGTCCTCAATAAACTTCCTGAATCGATATGGCTTACTGTGTACACTCATGAATGTAAAATACTAATCGGATGCATATATCGAGCTCCTAACACTCCTAGTTCAAATGACACTATTATAAGTGAGTCATTTGCTCAGGCTGCCTCGCTTGACTTCACTTACAAAATTGTATGTGGTGATTTCAACCTTCCCACCATCAACTGGAAGACACATTCTGGCCCATTGTGCTTTGAAAGCATACTTAGGACCTTAGACATACACGGCTGGCAACAACATGTACACCTGCCTACACGAAATCACAATATTCTTGACTTGATATTCTGTCATAATGTCACACCAACATCAATGGTGGTTGGCGAAAAGTTTCACAACAGCGATCATAAAATAGTCCTCTGCACCCTTCCGATTCTTGCCATATGCAACAAATTAAAGACATTAAACACGCGGTTCCAATATAGAGACTATGCAAATGCTGACTGGGAAAACTTTCGATTTCTAATAAAGCACTCTGACTGGGGCAGTTTCTTTACCAGTAATAGCCTCTTAGAAACATTAGAAATATTCAATATCACCACCAAATCTGCACTAGACACTACTGTACCCTCTAAAATTGGTTTTAAAACAATTACTCCATATCTAAACCAAAAGACTAGGACTAAA